ATATATATATATAATTGATGAGTAGTATTTCGAGCCAAAAAGAGCCAAATACAAACGAACAAATTTTTGTTCGTGTTCAGCTCGTCCGCGAGCTGTTCGCGAACAACGAGCTGTTTTGACAGCCCTAGACTCCTAGATGCCAGAAACTGTCAGGAGCAGTTAATGACAGTTGTCTAGTATTTTGATTACTTTCTATGGTGATGAGAAACCTTCAGGGTTTAATTTACTTTTCATTATGACCAAATGAATTGTTAAAATATACTATGAACCATAGGTCTTAGGAAAGTCTATGGTAGAATTAACTAGGTTTTTCACATTAACCTAAGTGGTATAGGTGGATATGACATGTGGGGAAATGCAAATATTAGGGAAATATGCTTTGATTAGATATAGGACTTATGGGAATAAAGTCATTTTTAACCAAGCCTTTTTATGCACTCGGGAGAGAATAAAGAAGATTATTGCTCCTATTTCTCACTAAACTTTTCTACTTGCAATTCTCAATTTCATGAAATCTTCTTAACTCATTTAAAGGAAGAGTTACTAAGTATTTGATACTTTCATTATAATTATGATAATATAAGATTACTTTTGTAGGACTTTATTTTTTAAATTGTTTGTGAAACATTAGGATTACTTTGTAGGACTCTACCAAAACCCAAATTTAGGACTAAAATCAGTAGACTATAACTTTTCCTAACAAGGATTACCTCGTTCTCTGTGGGATTGACATTCTGAACTCTAAAATATGATATTACTGATATGACACGTGCACTTGCGTGAGTCCCCAGTGTGTTTTTGTACCTAGAAACGGTATCAATGCGTTAAGTGAAGCAATCACTGATTGTCTAGTTAGCGGATGATGTGTTTCATTGTGAATAACAACCATTCTCGAATATGTATTTGTGTTCTTCAATACATATTTAATATATCAATGTGATCAGCATGAGAAATCAGAAGTATCTATTGATTTTTTTATTTATGTAAAGCTTGAATTGTATATGCACACTAAGCTGACCTTTTACAAACTGGTTGTATTTTCTTTGTTGTTTAAGGAGAATTTGGTGGATTTTCTTTTAATTCTTGAACTTCGCATAAAGTGGTAAAAAAATGTAGCAGTAAAAATGTCTACAATGTTGTTTTTGTTGGTGGTAGAACTTACATGTTACTATTATTGCTGGTGGCTTGATATACAGTTGAGTGTTGATGGAAAAAAAATACTTTTTACTTAACATATGCAAAATTTATTAATGATTTTAATTTAGGTTGACTTGCCTTTGTTGATCTTGTACGCCAACACGTTTCTTGCTTCATTATCTCCTCTAACTACTATAGTGACGAGTTTTCTTTCTGTTTTACGAATTGATTACTTCTACAGATGCTTTGGCAATTGAATTAGAATTCAGTTGAGCTACAATATAAGAAATGGGTGGCATGTAGAAGAAGCTTCATTGTGGAAATTTTTTGCAAGTATAGGTGCTAGATATGTAATTCAATTCATGCATTTCAATGTTGCCAATGAAATTCAATCAGCAGTTCAATTCATACCTACCACCTACAAATTCAATTCATATCATATCTAGCACATGCAATTCACGCATGGATTTATGTAATTATACAAGGAAGCATGTTCTTATGTGATTGAGGTGGTTAATCCCTTGGTGAGGGTATTGTGTTATTACTATCTTATTTTCTTTGTTGATTTGGCAGTTCAGTTGACAGCTGCTATGATTGTTGTTATAATCCAAAAAAGCTTGTAGTTATGCAGTTTTGTAGTTTAGATAACAGTTGCTATGGTTGTTGTTATAGTTGCTTGGTAATTCAATACTCACAATTATTGTTGGTACTTATTTGTTGTTGTATTTGCTGTTTTTTTATTTTTGCTGTGTTGGTATTTTTCTTCGTAGTTTATATTTTCCTATTTTGAGATCTTTATACCCATTAGAATCTTTAGTTTCAACCAATTGTTATCTTATGTTGTTTCATTTTTTATTTCAGATTTGCTCAAATTTTTACTGATCTTTCCCATTTTGGTTAGGTTATCGGTTGAGTTATGATGTTCTCCACCCATTGCATTAAAATTTAGCCATACTTGTAAATATTTTTTGTGCTAAAAAAATTATAGTATTTAGAGGAATTTTTAATGCCTTTTTCATTAGGTAAGTTATCGAGCTCATTTATTTTAATGCCTTTTCATTATTATGTGTTTTTTTGTGTGGATATCTTATATTTGTTTCAGTATTACTTTGTAGTTTCTATTTTGAGTTTCTTCAGTTAAACTTATCAGTCATAATTTGTATGATTCGAGTATTTCACTTTGACTTGCGTTGAATACTTCTCGTGGCTACGACAATTGTTGATTCATATGATTGTTTAAAGGTGCATAAAGCATTAACACTTCTGCATCGGATGTAAGCAACTTTGATAGCTGCAACCTGCAGTTTTATGCTTCCAATTGATTGGTATGACTAACCTTATTAACAACGATCACTATTTATGATGTAGTCGTTTAATGAGAATGACAATATTTATGTTATGATGGCTATTTAATACATATGAACTATGTGCTAAGTATGTAAATTTCTCTTGTTGAATCTATGTACAGGACTACATCATCAAATATGAGCTCTAACAACCTGACAACTTCTAAGGGAATCAAACATTGGAAGGTTTTCCGTTATTGCAATGTACTGTGCATTGTTTATAGTACTCAAAGAGGTGACAATGCAGACAAAAAATTCTACAAATGTCAAAAAACTTTAACAAACATAGATTGCAAGTTCTTTCAATGGGTTGATGGATCGAGGGAGGCAATAGAGGAGCCAGTTGATGAAAAAATATATAATGTTGATGATACAATGAGAAATGTTGTGAAAGTGTTGGAGTTTCTTGTGAAAAGATTATTTTTGTTTGTTTTTGTGATTGTAGCGTTACTTTCATTATGACTGACGTTGTATTTGTTTTGATGATGTTAATGTACTTTGAAAGGTGTCAAACTATAAACTGATAGATTTTAATTTTATAAACAAACTCATCTTTTTGACCAATATTATATATTATTTGAATCTTCTTTTGATTCAGTTAATATTCACCTCAATTTATCTTATGCTGTTGTGAGTGAAAATAACTTGATAAATTGTGATTGTATTTACCCCACAGACAATACTTTCAAAACTGTGTTTTCCAAAAATTTTAAACAGCAGCTTTTACAATAAACTTTTCAAAACTGTGTCTCTATATTGAGGGCATTACAGTCATTATTGTAAAACTATGTTTTTCTAACATACCAATTGCTTCTGAAATACCAGCTTTTGAACAACAGATTTGCAACAACAGCTTCTACAACAAACTTTTTTACAGCCACAGCCGAAAACAAACACACCTTAAGTTTAATATGCTACAACGTTAAAACTGCTCGATGAAGAGCTTTGAAAAAATGATTAGTTACGAAAATATAGCTGGATATTTATTTTACCATGTTCTATTCAATAAAAATAAAATATTATATTCTAATAAAAAATAAAAAAAATGTTTCATAATTGAATTCACATTGTTATATAATTATAGAGCATATATAAATAAATTATATTAAAATTTTCAATTCATTTTAAATCAAACATAGTCATTTAAAAAAAAAGGCAGAAAATAAGACAAATAAATTAAATATGACACGGAATGATTCTAAATAATAACAAAAAAAATGAAAACTTTTGTGAACACGATGAATTTTTTTTATTAAGCAAGTAATAAAAATAACTAAAATCATATTTCTTCCAAAATAATTTTAATGACACTAAAAGAAAGCTTTCATGGGGAGTATTCCATGTCGATAGATCACATAAATCAGAGCTGCAAATACTGAAAGTAAAATTTATGACTTAACAAATTTTTTTAATATTTAAATATATACTATTTAATTTTTCACATTTATTTATATAAAATATTCAAATATCTCCTCACAATATTTTATATATATTTACTTTTTTTCTTACTTTTAAAAAATATTAATATATTTTTAAATAAATTAGAAACTACAGGACCCCGGCATTCATGATACACCACTCTCTCTCTCTCTCTCTCTCTCTCTCTCTTCCAGAGCTTTTACGTTTGTGAAATGAGAGAAGGCTTGTGCCTTCAACTTCCCCACCTTTCGTACTAAATGATACACCCATAACCTCCTCTCTACCTCTGCCAAATAGCCATGCTGTTACCGCTGAAGTTCTCCTTCTTCTTCTGAAATTTGTAGTTGAAATGGGAAGACGCACGCTTTTCCTTGTTTTCATTTTTTTATGTGAGTATTATTTTGCTTATTTTTTCTCAATCTGGTGTTTCATATCTGACTTTTTTTTTTTGTATTGTTTTTGAGATATGTTTTGGTTAAAGCTTATTTATTTTTAGAAATCTGGAGTGGGTTTTGTGAGATGGAAAGTTTACATTATGTGGAAATTTGGGGTTTTGAAAATGGGTGATTTATAGCGAGTGGCCGAGTGAGTTTGTGTTCTTAATTAGGACAAGATTTGTTGGTTTTGCAGAATGAGTTCTGAACTTATGCTCTGCTGGGATTTTCTCCCTCCGGGAGTTTCTTTTACCAATTGAAGAGCATTTGTTTGGCGATCTATAGGGTTTGGAATGGAAGTTAGGGTTTATATTCTTCTGCTACTCATCTACTTACTGTGTTTCAAGATTGTGAAACTAAAGGAATTGGTTTGGTTTCTTTTTTGGACGATTTACATGCATACCACTCAATTCCTATGTATTTACATATCCAAAATTTGAACCATTCATGACACCCTACCCATGCATGCAAAGGTGTATTTTACTTTTTAAAAGTTAAAATAGCGGTATTTTAATATGAAATGAAAGATCTGGGTGAATGCGAAAAGTAAAATCTAGGTGTCAGATATGTAAATACATAATAATTAAGTGGTATGTATATAAATGCCTCTTCTTTGTTTAGGGTTTATATCATATTATTATGGGGTGATTACATACAAGTCACCCGAAACATTGCTATTTACAAATCTAGCACCCTGTTTTATCCATTTTTCAAATTCTCACTCAAATATCAAAATTCATGATACCTCAACTCTTATTTTTCATTTTATCAAATTCTTAATGGTTTGATCGTGGCACGCGTCAATGCATTGGTTCGGTAGTTCAAAAATATCACTTGGGTGCTAGATTTTGTACATAGCAATGTTTCGGGTGCTATGTATGTAATTATCCCTATTATGTTTTGAGGGGAATTGAGATGCAAACTTCGCATTGCAAGTACTTGGAGTTTTGATATTTAATACGGCTTTTACATATTAAATGCTTAAACTCTCCTATTTCGGAAAGAAAGTTTGGGTTGAATGTCTATTTGATGAGATGCAAATACCTAATTTACTGACTGGCTTATCAACTTTATTGTTTCCAAATTTTATACTGAAATGAACATATTTGCAATTGTTCAAAGGGTTTGTGAAAACTATGAATCTGAGTATTTATTCAAACATGAAAGCTTCATCAGTTAGTAGAGAAACAAGATCAACAGGAGTAAAAGAATGTTAAAAACACGGCTCATCTATGATAGAACTCTGACAGAATATATAAGTTTTATTGAGAGATTTGTGATTTCACACTATATGTGAGAAAATGTGTAGGTTGTATGGCATAATATGAAAAGTTTATTTGTTTTGTGCTAGTGCGTTGCTGGTGTTTGGCCTGTTCTTACGAAAAACGCAAATTAGGAAGGGCTGTTTTAAATACCGATGAAAAAAATATCCCAACTTGTAGACTTAAGCTTTTTAAGTTGGTTTCATATTAAGATAATTGCGTTAGTAGTAATACTTTTACTTGAATGACTCATTATGAGCTTTATTTCTCTAATTTTTAGGATATTAAGTTGGTTTCATATTAAGATAATTGCGTTAGTAGTAATACTTTTACTTGAATGACTCATTATGAGCTTTATTTCTCTAATTTTTAGGATATGGATATGATTTAGTAGTTGGGGGTTAGTGGTTGATTCATCTTGCTCCAATGTTGATGTTTTTTGTGATCTCATTACTAGGCTTAGATAAATAATGATTTGCAAAAAGGACTTTCAGATTGAGCCTATTGGAACTTAAAATCAGCGAGCAGTTTTTTGTTTCACTTGAGTATTACATGATGGAACCGAGTGTTAGGGTAAAAGATTTGCTATATTTTTCCTTTAATTGTGCTCTTAGAAGCCATAAAACAAAGGTCTAAATTAGTTTTCTTATCAAATTTTGACTACAAAAAAAGTTGTCAGAAAAATAAGGTTGGTTGGTCATTTTTTTGGGTAGTCTATGGTTTGTTTTACTTGAACCACTAATCAGCTGATTTGTTGATCAAGTTCTTTCAACATATTTGACTATTGAATCATTTCCATAGATGAGAAGAACAATAATGGGTTAGTACGAACAACAAAATGTTAAGTGGATTCTACCTCAATCAAACTTCATCAAAGTTTTACTGAATTTATTAGAATTTGAGTTCATGTAAGTAAGAAAAAAAACTGGCCATGAGTTCAACGGATAATAGTATTTGATGGTTCATGGTTCTGTATCAGTGCAAAAGAAAAAAAAAGACCCTATAAGAATTTTGATTCTGTAGCCCCGCTCGTGGTTTCAAAGCGTAATTTATGTTTTGGTTTTAATGTAACTAATGACTCACAATATAAAATTTTACTTGGCATGGTGTGGATTTGAGGCTTGGAACGTATACTATCAAAGAAAAGGAAAATTTGAGGGAGAATAATATGAAGAAGCTTCTACACAATTAGAAGGTAGGGAGCACTTACAGTGTTGGATATATCCCACATAACAAACCTTTTTAGCTAGCATTTTGTGTAGCGTGATACATTATTGGAAGATATACAAACATACCACTCCATTCCTATGTATTTACATATCCAACAACTAAACTTCAATTTTTACATGCCACCTTAGTTATCCATGAAAATGTGCTTTTCACTTTTGAAAAGTTAAAAGTATTGTATTTTGTTGTGCTATGAAAGATCTGGGTGGTAGAAATCTAAAAAAGCAAAGTTTAGGTGTTAGATATGTAAATAAATATGAATTAGGTGTTATTTATGTGATTGCCTACATTATTTTAAACTATATGCTTTACATTCAATTTTTACATGGCATTTTGTGTAGCGTGATACTTTATTGGAAGATATACAAACATACCACTCCATTCCTATGTATTTACATATCTAAAAACTAAACTTCAATTTTTACATGCCGCATTAGTTATGCATGAAAATGTGCTTTTCACTTGTTAAAAGTTAAAAGTATTGTATTTTGTTGTGCTATGAAAGATCTGGGTGGTAGAAATCTAAAAAAGCAAAGTTTAGGTGTTAGATATGTAAATAAATATGAATTAGGTGCTATTTATGTGATTGCCTACATTATTTTAAACTATATGCTTTACATTCTTGTTTTATAATTCATATGATGGTGCATTCCATGTTCTGCTTATTTTTATCATTAATGCTAATATATTAGATGCTAAGAAAACCTGTCTAAAACTTTTATTAGGGCCTTTATTGTTAGGAGCATGAGGCATATACCCTTCAAGGATCTATAATATGGAGATTGTGTTGTTTCTATGGATCATTTAGGGTGCTTTTGGGGGAGGGGTGGTGGTGTCGCACCGCTGGGCCGTTTGGAGAAATAATTGTTTACTTGCTTTCTTAGGAACTTGTGGTGGAAAAGTTGTGTTTTACAACTTGATTATGTTAAGTGCGGTGGGTGCCAGAAAGCCGCGAGTAGACTTTTGAAAAATAAATAAACAGAAATAGCTATTGCAGTTTTTTGAACATCGGTTTCTTCTGCAGCAAATTCACAATTGATTCTTTAAACAACTACGGCCGCCCCAAATGGACCTTTAGTTAATGCATTTTTATTGATTGATAATTCATTGTTCAAGGCTTTTTAATACCATAAGTACTAAGATAAGCATGTCGGTAGTGAAATAATGTGGGATGGACAAATTTTTATGTTTATTATATTTCGTTCTAACCATCCATTTAATATAATAATTAAAGAAATATTATATTTTGAGATGATTTGAGTGACATTTATCGATGATATTGTAATTGAAAATATATTTAGGAGATTTGAACATATAGAAATAAAGCCAACGAAATGGGTAGATAAAACTAGGGTAAATATCAGTAAAGAGAAAATATAAACCAAAGGTTTTACGGATAAAAGTTGTTCAAAATGTTTTGTGATGAATATGTTTAACACTAATAAAATTCAATTTACAAAGAGTTTTGGGATTCAAATTCATTATAAGTGCTAAATCAGATCTCGTAAAAATAGAAGAAGGGAAACCGAAAAGAGAGAAAAAAAAGAAAGTTTCATACTAGAAAGTGAATTTTTTTCTTAAGGATTTGGAGAGAAGCTTGAGTTGAAGCTCTAATTAAAAAGATTGGTGTCAATTCTTCTTCTTAAGGTTAAAGGATCAATGATTTCTCCAACATAAGTGTGAAACTTTGTATTCATAGAAATGTAAATTGAAACTAGATGATTTAACTGAATATATAACTGGAATTTATGGTTTATATTAATTTTATGATACTTAGGCTTCATATGAGTAACCTAAGATAAAGGATCAATGATTTCTCTAACATAAGTTAGAAACTTTGTATTCATAGAAATGCAAATTAAAACAAGATAATTTAATTGAATAGATAATTGGATTTTATGATTCATATTAATTTTATGTTAGTTAAGCTTCATATGAGCAACTTAAGATGAATATACAGATTTGTATTGCTATTTGTGAGGTCAGGATGTTAGGGGAAACTCTGATAGTTCACTCTGAAAGAAAATACATATCTACTTTTACTTATATATCTTCTCTATGTAATTAGGAGGCATCCTTTGTGTGTAACTGTGTCTTGTACATTAACATTTTCAACTAGAGAACTGGAGATAAATTCACAAATCTTTGAGTTTATTTATTAGGTTTTATTCGTTAAACTCGTCTTTTCTATTTCCTTTTAATGACATATAGATGTTATTATTCTCAAGCATGGTTAGCAAGTAAAATAGTCTTTCTCCTTTGAATTGGTGATGTAGGAATATTAAGTTTGGATTTTCTTGAGTGATTTTCACTGAATTCATATTGGATGGTATTTTAACCTTCTATTCTTCATTTACATTCATCATGACTAATTGGGTGGTTAAAATATATTGTGCACTTCGAGATTCGAAAGAATCTTTAGAGGAAAAACTAGGTTAAACCACAATAATTTAGGGGAATATAGAT